ATATATATATTCTATCTATGTATATATAGATATATATATATATATAAATATATATATAGAGCTCACACGTAAGTGTAGCATGATCTTTTTATAAGACATGAGAATATAAGTGTCATTTTTTATGACACTGCTGAAAGGACACCTTTATGACACGTCTGACAGCTGTCACTTTCCTAAGTACCGAACTGTTGTTGTGTCCGAAATATTTGTTTTGGCGTAACACAATACATATCGAAATACTGGGTGTGTTTCAAAACTGAGAGCATGTTCACACTCGAATGATTCATATGCCTGCATGTGCCTTTAGATTGCTTGTAGCACGATTTGTTATATTTCACCAAAAGTCAGTGAATGCATCATATGTTCGAATAATTTTTATTCTTTTTTTTTGAATCGGTGCTTGACGTAGCACTCGGTACATAGGGTTTGTGTAGGTGTGCAAACACAGTAAGTGCTACGCCGCGGTCTCTTAGTAAACGTTAGTTTCTTACACAAGCCACTTCCACATTTCAACAGGCCTTGTGACTTGCTTTTGACACTTGCAAATTTTTGTTTTCGTGAGTCACATGCACCTTTACCAGCTGGGTGTGCTGATAATTCGCATGGCCAATCATCGGTAAACCCAATACGTGTTGCCATATGATTGATATTCCCGTACATGCTTATTGGTTCTTTAACAAATAGCAGTTGATAGTCTGGTTTTGTATGTGCATTGTCGTAGAGAAATCGACTAGCAAAGACCAAGTTGGTTAGTGTTAGGTCCATGAAACAATCTTGAATTATCATTTCCCAGGAGCGGGTGAAATGCCCCTCCTCCATGGTAAACGTATTGCTTATTAAGCTGGTATTAATATCTACGGCGGCCCTCCCTTTATTGTAATAGTCGCGATTGACTACTGGGTATTGTATTTGATACCCATTTTGATTAGTGTATCTATACAAACGTTAGCAAATTCTATGTACTGATCCGTAGGTTGCTGCGCATACACCTGTGTACTGACTGTCCTTAAAAATGCAAGTATATAGAAGTCATTTTGTCCAACTACGGCGGTCTTATCATAATCTTGTAAGGTGCCTACGCTAAACAGCGATTCATCAGACATCAGTTCTTTCAGCTTGTGTCCTGGAATTCCTTTGGGCCAGGAGCCCCGTTTCTTGGCAATGAACACCCCAAAGGGACCAAATTGAAGCAACACGTACAGTATTTTAAGTACATACTGAAAACCCGCTGTCCATGATCACCTTACGTCCTGTTCCAACGAGTTGCGTCCATCCGTCAGCCGCATTACAATGCTCACAGTCTACAGATTATCCGCTGAATGCTTTACCGGCGGCAAGTATGACGGTCGGACCTTTGCCTCACATAAGTCAACTCGAAATATTATACTCGTGGAACATGATGTTGTTTTCCACTCGTTCCCATATTCTTTAGGCTTCCGGGGGCAGTGAATCTGCGCATACCCCATGACATTGTTCCATGTCATCATAGTTCCATCTATGCAGACCTTTCTTGATGGGAAACTCAGAAAGAAGAGTGACCGATTACGGTAGACGATGACGAACCTCAGGAGGAACTTCCAAAACATAATGAAGATGTGGAAAGCTCATTTAGTCAACCCGAATCAAAATCGAAATCCACCGAGTCAACTCGTATAAGTATGTTGACAACTACTACAAATACTGAACTTAGGATTCAGATATCTGCTCTTGAACAGAGTCTGACCATTGAACATGTAGATCGCATGTATGGATCTGGAGAAAAACCACAGCGCTTACGCGAACATGTTTCTCCTGGAACTACTAAAGCTCTGCAGAAATAGACTCAACGCTAACTAGAGAAGCCGCCTTCAGAACGTAAAACTCTGAGCGCAAAACCCGTAGCCGGCGAACCGGAACAACCAATCTGGCAATTATTCTTACGGAGAATTACCTCATGAGGAACAGGCGCGTTATACGCCCGAACCATCTCCGAGATACTAGCCTCCCGTACTTGATGGTATTATAGACCCCAACGCAAGGAAGGATACTCCACCGGAAATTCCAAACTGGGGAAATGCCCCACGCTCCGAGACACTAGTCTCCTGTACTTGAGGGTATTATAGACCCCAACGCAATGAAGGATACTCCACCGGATTTTCCGAACTGGGGAAATGCCCTACGCCCGAAACCAAAATCCACGGGACAGGGAATCCGTATGAGTGGTGCACCTCAGATCGTGATACCATCTGAGGTCTCTAGTAAGGGGCAACGCAAATCATCCAATACATTTCGGAGCAGATAGACGGGGAACTTAAACTACACGCAAGCGCATTTACGATATCGAGTTTTAATCGAGTAGATCGCACTGCTCTCCATCAACCTGATGAGAATTTCCAATCCGAGGTGACACTGTGACAGAGCTTAACAAGGCAGTCGATGACTACACCATTCAAATAGAAATCATACACGATAGCCGTGACGCTGAAGACGTAGCATATTTTGCTAGTCTGATTGCCATTGAACAAAGCGTATTGACCAACTACTGCAGACTCAACGTCGATAAGACCACAAATACAACCAAAAGTATAAGAGAATGATCAGTCGACTTACTGGGATGCCAGCAGTCAAAAGCCCGAGTTCATTGATAGCCATGATCTCGATACTTTGACTCGCACGCTTAATGCATTTACAGTGATGCTGGAGACAAATGACATCACTCCACATCAATGGATATATCCACTTATGCAGTGGGTTGATCCTGAAGGAACAAGTTGTTTGACCCTTCAGAGACATCAAAACGAACTAGACAATTGTCGCGATTGGCCAGCGGTCTATTGACTAGTAATGTCCTTATTAAGCAAGGACATGCGCAGCCCTGGGCTAAGTTTAATCTTAGCCTGGGTTAAATTCAATTTTAGCCGAGCCAGCACCAAACACTACCATGCAGAACTGTATATTGAAGCTTGACGCGGACTTGAAACACCCTGATATTAAGAAAGACGACATACCACAATGGTACGAGTTCCTGGCTATGCATATGTTTTGTAAGAACATCGGAAACTATGACCGGGAGAGTTTGAATACTGAGCTTCGTCGCAAGTATGCAAACGAGCCTCTTGATCTGGGACACAGAGTCAAAGTTTCATTTGAATCGACTACACTGGGATCAGTTCTATCAGACTGTGTCCACTGTATACCCTCCCGGACGTGTGACCTCTCGGGAGATGGTGATTGTGATACTAAGAAACCGCGAGAGCAGATTGACCAAGGATACGTATCTTGGTAGACCTCAAACGATAGACCCCCACATACAAGCCCTCGTGAGATCACTCAGAATACACGCCCTGTTAAGAAGGCGCGTGCCGAGCCGAAGAACCCTGGTACAAGCAAATCAAGAAATGTGCGGACGAGAAGTGTTAGTACGATATGTACCAATTGACCTCTAACAGGTTATTGGAACGGAAAGTACGCATCTGCTTGTACGAACCATCTTGCGAAGTGCGATGAGTGCGAGAATACCAATGGCTTTCACGCTAACTCTTGCGACAAGAAGCCCGACATTAAGTTGGAGTGAAGGTACTACGGGTACAATATAACGACTCCTTAGATGAGCGTGTAATAATCCCTGTATATTGCAACAGAAATAAAGTCCTTGCATCGATTAATCCTGGTTCAGAAATTTCATGTATATCCGATCGCTCAACGTAGAACGCAAGCCACTTCCTTTATTTTAGCAGATGAGAAGACTTCTAAATGTGAAACGATGGCCACCGATGTTACAGTCCCTTTGACCGACGATAGAAATATCACTACTCAAGCTGTGATAGTTTAGATGTCACATACGTACGACATTATAGTCGGAATGAGTGATTTGCTTACACAAGGTATAACCGTAGCTAGTCTACCGAACAATGTCGATCCACTTAAGTATCAATCAGACGATAGTTGTTTAAAACCAAATACACCACCGTCTGACACGGTCAAGGCATTAATACCTGACTTTGCAAGTTATATTATGGTTCTTAATTTAGTAAATAAGAAGACTAAGATTACTTATCTGACGGTGCTAAGTTCCGTTTTAACGACGGATACGTCAGCCTTGACTTAACCAAGGTATATTGTACCCAACTATGGTGTCCTTCTAGGAACTACGTATTTTGGAGACACGAAACTGTAGTAAAAGAACAAGTTGAGAAATGGTTAGCGGATGGAGTGATAGAGATCAATTATCAACAAACGCCAGTTAATTTGGGCGCTGCTCGCTGTTGACCAATATAACTTTGACGGATCATTTATGAAAGTCAGAGTATGTCTAGATATGCGTCCAATAAATAAATTCTTGCCTACTCATAGCTCTACATACCTCGTACAACTAAGATTACTTATCTGACGGTGCTAAGTTCCGTTTTAACGACGGATACGTCAGCCTTGACTTAACCAAGGTATATTGGACCTAACTATAGTGTCCTTCTAGGAACTACGTATTTTGGAGACACGAAACTGTAATAAAAGAACAAGTTGAGAAATGGTTAGCGGATGGAGTGATAGAGATCAATTATTAACAAACGCCAGTTAATTTGGGCGCTGCCCGCTGTTGATCAATATAACTTTGACGGATCATTTATGAAAGTCAGAGTATGTCTAGATATGCATCCAATAAATAAATAATTGCCTACTCATAGCTCTACATGCCTCGTATAAACGAGCTATTGAGAAGAATGAAAGGGGCTACAGTATTTACAACTATAGACCTTACACGAGGATATCATCAACTGCAGATGCAGGAACCACACCGTATGTACTTTAGTTTTGCGAGGAAAGGTAAACAGTATCGATTTAAAGGAACACCTTTCGGGTTACACTCCTTACCGGTATTCTTCCAACAAGCAATGGAAGAGATGTCCGCAGACATACCTAATGTGCAAGTCTAGTCATTTCCTCTGAGACTAAGGGCGAATATGCCGCATTAATAAGACGACTTCTGAACAACAATTTAAGATTAATGAGAAGAAATGTCACTTTGCCATGAGCGAAATAAAGCTATTAGGCTATTGTATATCAGGAGAAGGTATTAAAATCGACCCCGGTAAAGTAGAACACCTGTTAGATTGGGAACACCAACTACAGGTAGAGATGTAAATAGTATGTGTGGATTCGTGTGGATTCGTCTCCGACGGAGTACTACACTTAGCAGATTAATTTAAGACCATTTGGACATTTAAGATGTCACGGAGGTAAACTAGGAAACCTGTGGACAAAGGCGTGTGATGATGCTTTCAAAGCACTCAAACACGCCGTCCAATAAGCTCCCGTGGTATAAGGGCCAGTCCATGGTGTACCATTTGAAATTACAACCGACAACTCCGACATATCACTTGAAGGAGTACTATATCAGGTTATAGATAACAAATCTAGATATATACAATTCTTTAGTCGAGGTATGAATGTATCACAGTTGAACTATCCAATTGTTAAACAATAACTACTAGCTGTAGTAGCAGCACTGATACACTTCCGAGATTATCTATATGGAACAGCCTTTACGTTAATGTGTGATCAGAAATCTCTTCAATATATGAAAGAGATGAAGCCAGACTCACAATTCCTGAGTCGATGGCATGATACGATATCAAAATTTCATTTTGATGTGAAACATTTACCAAGGATACATTACCACTTATCTAATATGCGATCTCGCTTCGTATCGGACTTCAATAAGTCAGTACGTGAGCTATTAGCCACCGATTGGAAGTGTAATCCAAGGTGGTTCGATTTGGCACAAAATATATTTGCGCCACGTACAATTGACATGTTTGCTGCACATCATAATGCGCAACTTAAAGATTACAGGACATTGAATCATACTTTGGGAGATGCTTTTCAAATCGACCTTTCCAAACATAATGCGTGGGATAATCCACCTTGGCAGTTAATTGCCCAACTAGTAAATTACGTGCATACACACAAAGCTACCAACACGTTGTGTTACACCTTATGGAAGTTGGATCCGTGGCTTAAGAAATCAATAAGCATGATACAATGCGAGCCAATATATTGAGATAGTTGATACTTTTCTCTATCAGGGTACCAGAGTAGTCCAAAAGACGCCCTGGATACATACTATAATATGTCGTATAGGTCCTATTGGTACAACTAAATGGACCACATCTGAGACCTTCTTTAAAAAGATCAAGGAATTTGATATTCCACTCTCCAGTAGATTTGAACGTTAAACAATTCAAGGGCAATACAGCACCTGAAATCGGCCCAAGAAATACAATTCATTAATGACACTACAGTTAAGATTCGTCAATCTCTAGCTCGAACTTTATTCAATAGTATAAAGTCCAAACCCGAAGTCTTTCAGACATTATTTTTAAAGGGATCAATGAAAGATAATCCCGAAGTATATACACACATAAATAAGTCAAGTTAAAAAAATAAGTCAAGTGTGGCAAATGTATACGAGCGCACTAAAGACGCACTATCGAAAGACGTAGAGGAGTCTGGAAACACTATAGACTTAGAGAACACGCAAGTGGATTCTCAACACCCTACCTTTATTCTGGAAGAGCAGAATGATAAAAACATTATCGATTGGCTGACGCAGAATCATAAGCTGAAGCATCAGAACGTAGTAGAAGCACTTAAAAATGCTAAGCAAAATGGGATAGCGCACCCTAAGCTGGCAACTTTAGCTGACAGAGTATATCTGTCATGTACAGGCTGTGATCTCAAGTAGATCAAGCGCTATGGGTTCACACCGCATAATAGTGTGACCGAAGATGTTTCATGGCGCAGGGTCATCCAGGCGACCGATACGTATGCCACTTCTTTGATACGGCGTCACGGTTTAACTTGCTTTATCATCTGAAGGATAAGAGTACGCAGACCGTGGCAGAACTATGTTGCCAAGTCTTTGCTGACCACGGGTGGTCAGGTATAGTGTGTTCTGATAGCGTAGACGAGTTCTGCGATGATGTAATGGAATCGTTAGTACTCGTATCAGGCATGTGCCATAAAAGAGGTGTACCATAGAAACCGTAAACACAAGACGCTAATGAAACGCGCCATCGAAGACTTATTATTTTTCTTACGTACTGCATTAACGGATGATGATAAGTGGGTACAAACACAGATGAACGAGAGTGCTGATCCGGTTACCGGAACAACACCCGCACACTATTTTCGTGGCAGACATAGTGAGTTTCAAATACTCTTTAACAAGGACAAGCCTGATCGCCATGAGTTGCCCTGATTAGAAAAGGTACAACGTATACATAACGTTGTATATCCTTGCTCGCGAGAAACACGTAATGTGGCCTTATTAAAAAGGCCATATAGATGGAATACAACCAAGAAGATAGCAGAATATCAGGTGGGAGACAGAGTAAACGTCCGTCAACGTAATTCCGATGCTACTGTAATAGCATCTAAATGAATAGGACCATATATAATCTCTGTAGCTGACAATGAAAATGAAACCGGTGAGGTAAACAACCCCGACAGTTCCAGTGCTTTAAATATAGGCACTAGTCAGATTCTGACTACCGAGATTATACTCGCAAGAAGACATGACTTTAATGCCCCTTTTGACCGCTCCGAATTTAAAGACATTATATGGAGAACGGATAAAGAAGGATATACATATTACGTACTCGCTTTATAGACGGTACAACACTGAATTAACTTCATAGTTCAGACACTTTTCACAATCAAGACTACTTAAAAGCCTTTAATAGAAAAAGGCGTAAACCATCCCACAATGTTCTGTACAATGTTTGTTATGTGTGCCTTAGCTGAACGGTTCAGCCTCTGCTCCGACCTTTTAGTGGATCCACCTTTAGCTATATATATGTTTTTATGGTGGGTAACACGGCTCACTATGTCTATGCGAGTTCGTTCAAACTCCTCCAGCACTGCATCACGCTTAAAGTAACAGTATTTAAGCACATGTACGTCACGCTTAGTACCACCAGCACATGGCAGTTTATCTTCAGCGCATGTCGTTCCATAAAATCGCCCAGACTTGCTATCATGTACATTCAAATCGGTGAATGCTGAAGTTGAGTATGCGAATTTTATCATTCATTACTCTACTGTGCCAACAACATAAGATTTCCTCGAAGCTGCCATTGTTTCAGTTAAATAACATTCAAGCTTCTATGTCTATATACGAACAGGTCAAAATTTGATTATTTCATACACGGAGAACACCTTTTTTAATTTTACAACACTAACAGTTGCCGATTTGTGGCGGTATATACTATCGCTTACAGTCAATCA